ATCTATATATTTACACTCATGGACAAAAAAAATAGTGCATCAAGAAGGAGTTGTCAAAATGGAACGAAATTTTGCATACGTAATCACTACTTTGGTATAAGTAAATGATTAGAAAATCAAAGAAAAAGGATAATTTATTTCGGAGAAAAAGGCGAAAAAACGGAGGAGTTAATACCCCGTTGGACCCCCACTTGCGCGAATGCACGATACGATGTGATCGGGCATTGAGGCATACAAGTTCTGTATGATGTCTAGAGATATTTCGTTCCGTATTTGCTGTAACCTTGCCTCTAGTTCATTCAAACTCTTGGGATGACCAACTCGCCATCCCAAATGATCCCAGATATGCTCGATGGGAGACAAATCTGGGGATCAGGCAGGCAAGGAAGGGTAGTAACACTACGGAGGCAGTCTTGTGACACCCTTGTCATATGAGGCCAAGCATTGTCTTATTGAAAAATGGCTCCTGGGAGCCGTTGCATGTGTGATAACACATGTGGTTGCAGGATTTCATGGACATACCGCTGGGCTGTCATGGTGCCACAGATCAATACTGGAGGTGACCGTGTATTATAGGCAGAGGCACCCCATACCATCACACCAGCTGGTGGAGCGGTGTGTTGCTGTACTGCAAAGGCAGGATTAAGGGGTTCACCACGGGGTCTCCACACAAACATGATTGTCATCACTGCTGAGATTGAATCTGGATTCGTCGACAACCTGGTTCCATTCCGCTGCAGTCCAGTTTCCTCACGGGCAGCACACGCAATGGGTGCCGCGATACCAACTGTCCTTCAGCCAGACGCCTTTGTATGGTTGAAGAAGACACAGGGTACCCTAGTGAAGGTGCTACCTGTGCCTGGATGGCGGCAGATGAAGCACTTGGCTGTATGTGTGCATTTCTCACGATGTGGCAGTCTTCTCGACGACTGGTCTGTCGAGGGCGTCCTGAGCCTGGTCTTCGTGTACATGACATCTATCGGGTCCCCTGCTCCCAACACCTCCTCACAACACAATCAGAGCGGCCTAATTGACGAGCTACTCGCCTAGCTGACCACCCATCTTCCATCATCCCAACGATTCTCTCCCTCTTAAAATGCGACAGCTGCTCATATTGTCTTGGAACACGGCATAATGGCATGTCTACCTCAGCTCTTCCTCTATAAATGATTCAGCACACTCAAGCAAGCTTTGGTTACCTGTTTTATAGTCCACAGAGTACAACGTTCAACGCCCTCTACCGGCTATACGTATTGCACAATCACGCTGCTTTTCTAATCATTTGCATATCTCCCCGACATGTACCTTCATTGCAAATTTCGTTACGATCCCGCAATTATTTCTTAGTGCGCTAATTTTTTTGTCCATGAGTGTATATATATATATATAGATAGATAGATAGATAGATATATAGTTTCTTTATAAATATATTTTATTTTTCAGGTGGTCGTATGTGTACTTCTAAAAGTTCTAAAGAAATTCCTGTTGATTTAGGAGCTCAGTTTATAACTAAAACAAAGAATTTAACTCCCGTTCAAGAAAAGTGAATAAGTTTTTTTTAATTATATATACATATATATATATCTGGGTTGGGTTTTTGACATGACAAGGGTATAATACTGGTTTAAACCGTCAAAAACTGAAGTTTGCCAAGAAAATATATAAACTTCAAAACTACCAACAGTTGCCATGCATTATATTGAAATTTAATTATACTATAGGTAATCAGCAGGTTTTAAAATATTTTTTAATTGAAATTAAGGTAAAATAACAGATTTAAAATCTCAGAAATTTATATTCAAATGCATGTGCAGAAAATTTTTGCATAAAAATTGTTTAAATATTTATATTTAAAAAAAA